TAGCAGCGGGGGAGGGTAAGATAGCTCCCTCCTTTCCTCTAGGGCTTGCTGGGCAGCAATGAGTCTCTCCAGTATCTCAAATAACCGGTCAACATCCTCTCTAAGCGAACCTTCCTGGGCTGCTCAGTTTAGTGGGTGTCTTCCTCTCCTCATCTATCTGTACCTGCATTTCACAAAGAATGGTTGAGTGATAATTCATTATTTTTTGTGTTTCCTAAGGATTTTGTGTAAGGAATGAGTCCGAGGAATGCAGCTCTGATACCAACTGTAAAGGCCCGTGAACTTTAAAGAAAATAAATCATAAATTAAGTACATGAGCAAAATAATTAGTTAGGGTTTACATTCTTTACACAATAATTTAAAGTACCAAATAGTGCTACAAAAATTACCTTTTTGAAGGAAATACAAAAAATTAAGAAAATAAACGGAAAATAAATAAAACTGGTCTCCTACTCGCAACCCTCTTGTGGATCAGGCTCTGGATCCTGGTCCTCTTGATTTAAAATAGTTAAATAAAAAATGAGCTACACTAACCCAGTAAGAATATCACGCTACTCACCGATATAGAAATAAAAGTTTGTACAAAAATTAAAACAACTAATAGAGCTCTTAATTAAACAAATTCATTTATCATAAACAAAATCTTTTGTCATCTACTTACCGTAGTGAGATTTATAAAAAAAATTATAGAGACAATAACATAACTCAAATCATGATTTCATATGTAATCGATTTGAACAATAATTCTATCATTTATCAGCCTACTGGTATCCATGGGGGTTCATAGGGATGTCCCACAACACATGAACCTTTTCCTTTAACATTTCAAATTAACGGGTCGTCCCCATACCACGTCCAGTATGAGCGCCAAACCACTAAACCTCAATTCCTCATCCGGTGTGAGAGTGAAATGGGTCATCCTCATACCTCGTCTGGTATGAGAAATATTACCAAACCTCGATATCTCGTCCGATATGAGGCAACGTTCACGGTAGGGTTCCCTATGCACCTGGTCCGTCCACAATCTCCCAGGATATCCAGTAAGGTTGTCGTTTCATCCATTCACTTAATCACGCAATTTCTCGTTTTCTTTTAATCTCTTTTTTTTTCAATTCAACTGTAAACCTATAAAACAAACAATACATGCATTCAAAGCTGTAAAATCGATCAATCAGATACTATCATGCATTCAAACAGTAAAAATAGTCAACAAAAACAACAGTAGATAATTTTTCAGTTCTGACTCCATTAGTAACCCGTAATTAATTATAGATATTTTTAAATTGTACAAAAAAACTGTATTATTATTAATTTGACTTCAATTCCATAGCAGATAATAGGATGAGGGATTCTTACACAATTCGATACCCGAAAAGAAAAACTTGTTTACTGCACCTACCGGTGGTCCCTGGATTCTCTGAATTTTTCTTCGGGGATTAAAATGTGTTACAAGTACCTACAAATATCCCAAAAAACCTAAAAATAATTTCAGCACCCCTTTTTGGCCAATTTCGAAATTCTAGCACGGCGGTGGTCCGTCTCGGGTTGGTTATTTTTTGCCATTTTCAGTCAAATTCGGTCGGTTTTGCATGAATCCCTACAAGAAAACACGTTAAAGGGCATTGGTTTGCCAAAAAAATTGAAAAATTGAAACTCACATGCGGCGGGGCTCTCTGGTACGGTAGCTCTGCCAGCTAACTTTTACGACTGGGTGTTTTGTTTCGGTCAACTTGTAGAGAAGGAAACGATGATTACAACGGTGGAAAAATTTTACAGAACAATAATCGAGAAAGGCCTCATCGGAGGCAGTTTTGTAATTTCCTACGGCAGGGCTGCCAAGCTTTGCTCGCAGTTTTCGGCCAATCGGCCAGTCCTTTTGCTCTAATTTGGTCATGGAGATTTTTTAAATTGAATTCTGAGCAAAGGGAGAAATGTTTACCTCTTTTGGCGGTCTGAAATGGCTCCGGCGCAGCGGCAGGTGGCAGTGGCTCTCCTTCTCGGCGGCTGGGTCTTCTTCTCCGATGAGAGTGTCTGGCAGCTAGGGTTAGGATTTGGTGTGAAAAGGGTTATTTATATCTGTCTCCCTTTAATCTGGGTCGTCCCCATACCCTGTCAGGTATGAGCACCAAACCACTAAACCTCAATACCCCGTCCAATATGATGGTGAAACGGGCCGTCCCCATACACCGTCCGGTATGAGCGCCAAATTACCAAATATCGATACCCCATCCAGTATGATGCAACATTTACGGTAGGGTTCCCTATGCACTTGGTCTGTCCACCATCTCCCAGAATATCCAGTAATGCTGTTGTTTCATCCATTTACTTAATCACGCAAATTTTCATTTTTCTTTAATCTCCCTTTTTTCCAATTCAACCGTAAACCCATAAAACAAATGATACATACATTTAAAGCTGTAAAATCAATCAATCAGATACTATCATGCATTCAAACTGTAAAAATGGTTAACAAAAACAATATTAGATAATTTTCAGTTCGGCTCCATTAGTAACCCATAATTAATTATAGATATTTTTTAAATTATACAAAATACCGTATTATTGTTAATTTGACTTCAATTCCATAACAGAGAATAGGGTGAAGGATTCTTACACAATTCGATGCCCGAAAAGTGAAACTTATTGACTGCACCTACCGGTGGTCCCCGGATTCCCTAAATTTTTTTTTGGGATTAAAACGTACTACAAGTACCTACAAATATCCTAAAAAATCCAAAAACAATGTCAGGACCCCTTTTTGGCCAATGTTAGAATTTCGGCACGGCGGCAGTCCGCCTCGGGTTGGCTATTTTCAATCATTTTCGGCTATTTTCGGCCAAATTCGATCGATTTTACATCAATCCCTGCAAGAAAACATGTTAAAGGGCCTCGGTTGGCTGAAAAAACTGAAAAATCAAAACTCACCAGCGATGATGCTCTCTGGTGCGGCGGCTCCGTTAGCTCACTTTTGCGGTTGGGTGTTTTGCTTCTGTCAACCTGTGGAGAAAAAAACCGGTGGAAAAATTTTGCAGAACAGGAATCGAGAAAGGCCTCATCGGATGCGATTTTTGCAATTTTTTGCAGCGGCGCCACCAAGCTTTGCCCATGATTTCTGGCCAATCGGCCAATCCTTTTGCTCCGATTTGTCCATAAGTGTGTTTAAAATTGAATTTCGAGTAAAGAGAGAACTATCCGTTGCCACGCGGCGGGTTCTGGTTCGTCGAAGCTGCTGACCGAGCATCCTATGTGGCACAACATTCCTAAATTATATTTTGACTCCCAGTTTCTGATTTTTCTTTCAAAAATAACTCCAGAACCTAAATTTTTATCCCTTTTTTCTAAAATTGTTTTCAATTTCATCCTCCTTCAATTTTATTTTTTTTTTTACACTAAATTAAAATAAACTAAATTAAAAAAATTACATTTACAAATTAATTTAAATTACAAAAAATTAATTTAGGTATTACATTCTTCCTTAAATAATACATATAAATGATGATAAATCTTCTACTCAATTCAGTTCATGAGTATTTATTCAAAAAGTTAAATTGTTGGTTCACAACTCAAATCACAATTCCTATAACAATAGTATGACATATGTATATATATGTATACCCAAACTAATTAACTAATGAGTAGATTTTTCTCTATCCACAGCAATTTAAGTAGATCATGCATGCATATCCATTTACTTAACTGTCATGTATATAGGAACCAATTATAAGTATGCTATCACATGCACATGAAATCAAATTGGTGGATTCTCTTTTCTGATTTTTTTTATAAAAAAATTAGAAATGGGTAGTGGATATATACAATAATCTAGGTACTAATGATATTGGAGGACATATATTTATG